ACTCCATATCCATCTTGTGGATGGCAGTGGCTAGTTTACTGTGTACCTCATATCCATCCTGTGGATGGTAGTGGCTAGTTTATTGTGCACTCTATACCCATCGTGTGAATGGTAGTGGCTAGTTTGTGCATCCCACACCCATCCTGTGGACGAGGGCAGGTCAAGAACATAAAATATACACACACTGGGTCTAGTAACTAGGTCTCAAAATTTCCCAGCTAATAATGAACGTTGTAATTGTAGAATTTTTGTCTCTACATATGTTTTATCTTGATCTTCCTCCTCCTCTTCTTTCTCCTCTTCCTCCTCCTTATCTTACCTATCACAGACGTCTCTCGTTGTATCTCCCCATTTCTCATTTCTCACTTCCATTTATCATCTTCGCTGGGAGTTGTTTTCCAGAGGGAGATAAGACACATTCCCACCCTTCCCTACTCCTCCTTACCCCACTTCTCCCTTTCTCTTTTTCCCCACTTATCTTTTTCCCCCTTTCTTCACTTTCTTCCCGGTGTAGCTGATCTCCAATATGGATAGACCAGCTCTCTGTTAATCTGTCATTATTTCCCCGTCTATCGCTATCTCTCAATGTTAATCTATTACTGCTTGTCCATCTGTTAATATCTGTCAATGTTTCTCTATTACTGTCTCTGTTAATCTGTCTGTTTATTAATGTCTGTCACTGTCTTTCTCACTGTTAATCACTGCATGTCCGTCTTCCATTATCTGTTACCGTTTTTAGTATGTCAGTATTTCTATGTGTCTCATTGTTGTCCTCTGTTCAGTGTCTGTTATCATTGTCAGTATGTCAGTCTGTGGCATTTCAGTGTTTATCTGTGTGTGTGTCTGTCTAATATTCTTACAATTTCCAATGAAATTAAAAAAAAAAAAACTGAAATATTTACCCAGAATGTAGATTCCTGGTCATCTGTTCTACCATGTGACTTGTCTGTTATTCTTATGACACTAAAGTTAACTTATGGCACCGAGTCTGACTCCTTGATCATTCCTGACTCTGTGCCATCACTGATGCCACTTGACTAGCATTAGAGAAGCGCTACCATCCACAGGATGGATATGTTCTTGCACTACCATCCACAGGATGGATATGTTCTTGCACTACCATCCACAGGATGGATATGTTCTTGCACTACCATCCACAGGATGGATATGTTCTTGCACTACCATCCACAGGATGGATATGTTCTTGCACTACCATCCACAGGATGGATATGTTCTTGCACTACCATCCACAGGATGGATATGTTCTTGCATTACCATCCACAGGATGGACAAGCTTTTGCTTTTTCTGTCTATTTACCCCACATCCTCCCTTGCTTCACTATCTACTCTTTAGCCTGTTCCTACCTCTCTCTCCTATCTTTCCTCTTCCTTCCTCTCTCCCCTCTTACTCTCTTTCTCCTCCCAATCCTCTTTGCTTTATTATCCCTTACTCACACCTGGACAATACACGATAGTCCTTAAACCAGGTATAATTAAATAATTCTAAGCAGATAGTCCCACTGTGGACTTGCAAGTACTCTGCTGACTATCTTTCCCATGTACTCGTATGTACTCTTCTCTCCTCCATTTTACTCCCCTCTCCTCCCTCTTCCCTCTCCTTTCCCTTACCTCCCTTCCCCTTCCTTCAGCGTCAAGATCTGGTGACAATTTAACATAAATGCCGGGAAGAGATGTTTTATGTCTTCCCTTAAACTTAGGGAAGAGCCTCCCATTCCCATCACGGTCTCTCTCTCTTTCTCCCCCATCATGGTTTATGTCTTCGTCTCTCCCCATCATGGTTTATGTCTCTCACGTAATTGTCTCTGGCTCTCACATGGTTATGTCCCATGATTTCCATTTCCCATTGTGGTTACTGTCTCACCCATAATAGTTTTGACCCCCTTCCCCACGATGGCGTATGCCTCTTAGCTGATAGCTTCTGTCTCTCCCATGATGGTGCGTCTCCCACGTATGTTGCTGTCAGACTTGTATGAACAACACAACAGCGTTGTGTTGTTAAGGCTGGCGTTGTTTTGCAAACGTTTTCAGAATTTATTATAAATAGTTCATGGTATATTGTGTCAGCATAGTTGCTGATCCCCTTATATGTGTTGTATAGCGTATTATAGTACCATCCATGTGCTTTATATAGAAGATCCCTATTAGGCCGAGTGACTGTATGACGTCACGGGATGCAGCGTGAGTGACGAGCTGCACGGATAGACATAGAAGCAGGCAGAACACGGCAGGCCTGGGCTCCCACCTCTCATCACAGTCTGACAATATATATAGTGTTACCATCCAACAAGGTGTTTACCTTATCCATCTTATCTCCATCCGAACCCCATACGACAATTGTTATGGTAGTTATACCTGCTAATGCGTAGACTGTTGTTAAGGCAGTTATACCTGCTGATGCGCAGACCGTTATTAAGGCAGTTATACCTGCTGATACGTAGACTGTTGTTAAGGCAGTTATACCTGCTGATACCTAGACTGTTGTTAAGGCAGTTATACCTGCTGATACGTAGACTGTTGTTAAGGCAGTTATACCTGCTGATACCTAGACTGTTGTTAAGGCTGTTATACCTGCTGATACCTAGACTGTTGTTAAGGCAGTTATACCTGCTGATACCTAGACTGTTAAGGCAGTTATACCTGCTGATACCTAGACTGTTGTTAAGGCAGTTATTCCTGCTGATACCTAGACTGTTGTTAAGGCAGTTATACCTGCTGATACCTAGACTGTTAAGGCAGTTATACCTGCTGATGTGTGGTGAATGATTTGAAAAACCGACAAGTTGAAGATTGAGACACTTGTGCAACATATGGGAATCTTTATTAAAGTAGTGATACGTGTATACTGAGAGAGCCAAAGGTGGAGTTAATATTAACAGTTGTGTCATTCATTAAGGCTGATAATGGAATATCTTCTTGGTAGTATGTTCACTCACACGAGGACTGACAATGACCAGTGATCTAAAAAATAAAATGTAAATATCTAAAGGTAGTAGGGATGTAGGTTAATGTAGGTATGAGGTGGCAGAGTGAAAGTCAGGGAGACCATCAATACACGACCGGCCACAACTGTTTGAGGTGCTTCAGCTTTCGTGAAGTTGATAAATTAGACACATGTGCAACTCTTGGGTATCTTTATTAAGGAAACGTTTCGCCACACAGTGGCTTCATCAGTCCATACACAGGAGAAGCTTGAAGAACAGGAGGAGAATGAGGTAATCAGTCCCTCAACCTTAAGTCGATGTGGTCAGTCCATCAATCTTGAATAGAATACGGCATATGAGCGGAGAAGCAGCTTATAAACCGTAGGCAGGAGAGGTGCAACAGTCGCAGGTGGTGTCACATTTGTTCAATGTGGAAGTAGGTCGTGCCCAAGGGTTAGGCAAGCGAAGAATTCCCAAGTATTAAGATCCCAAGAAGTTGCAGTGTCTGACAGGATTGTAGATGAATGGTTCACAGAACCGACACGTTGATAAATTAGACACATGTGCAACTCTTGGGTTGAGGGACTGATTACCTCATTCTCCTCCTGTTCTTCAAGCTTCTCCTGTGTATGGACTGATGAAGCCACTGTGTGGCGAAACGTTTCCTTAATAAAGATACCCAAGAGTTGCACATATGTCTAATTTATCAACGTGTCGGTTCTGTGAACCATTCATCTACAATCCTGTCAGACACTGCAACTTTTTGTGAAGTTGCTAAACTATCTTCATGCAGCGAGGGAGGGAGAGGGAGGGAGGATATATCGCGTGTATCGAAGTCTTAAGCAGTGGAGCTTAGTGTAACGTCATTAAAATGTAAAGCTTGAGAAGCTTAAGCTTTAAATGCGTGGTATCTATCAGTGATAGATGTCACACACTTCAGCTATCAGGGCTGGACTAAGTTCATCAGAGATGAACACACCCTGAAGAAATATATGTGCCTTCTATCTATCTCTCTCTCTCTCTCTGTCTCTTCCTCTCCACCGTCCTTTTACTTCATATATTTCTCTTTCCTCAATCCCTTTCCTCCTCCTTTCCTTGCCAACACTTCTCACCCTCTGCTTCTCCTCTCACCCAACCTCGCCCCTTCCTTGCAGCTCCAGCTTCATTCTATCATCTTCCATCATTTAGCATCTCATCAGCAATCCTTCTATTTCTTATACCTACACCCCCCCCCCATCCTTCACACTGCTTTATTGTTACCCTCCCTTTTTCTTTCTCTCTTTCCCTCCCCCTCCCACTCTTCCCTCTCTCCTCCCACTCTTCCTTCACTCCACTCTTTCCCATCACCAGCACACACTTCTGTCTCTTGCCCACACTGGCTTTGACTCCCAGTATTGACATTCCTGAAACTCTCTCTCTCTAAATATAAGCTCGTTCCTCGTATATTTTCTTTCACCTGAAGTCCTAATGTGAGCCGTTCAGTGCTGTAAGTAATATAGCAACGTTTCACTCAAGGTGGGCGAAACGATGTCTTGTTCCAAAAAAATCGGATATCCTTGTACCTTGGGGAAACAGGACCAGAAGTGTAAAGAATAAAGTGTAAAAAGCGACCAATGAAAACACAAAATAAAAGCAATTTTTAGATAAAGGAAGTTGTTAAATAACAGCTGTGACTTTCTGCTAGCAGAGACAAAAAGTTTATTGAAGGAGACCCAGTTAAGATATACTGGTTGTCACTTTGGTGTTCACTACATAATTATAGCCATGACTTTGTGAAGGGGTAAGCCAGTGGAAGGTCTCGGTCAGATGACCGAAAACTCCAGCTCTGGCTCATCATATGACTAAGATTCTCGTCAGGAAACAAATATCCACTTTCCTGACTTACCTAACCTAACCTAACTTTACTAAACCTAACCTAACCTAATTCTGGTGCTCTGAAATCTAAGCGTGGCCATCCGTGTTCTACAACCATGTGCACGGTAGAGTACCTGAGTGCACAGAGCACGGGTGAAGTGCTTTAACCTTACGTGTAATACAGAGAGCGCATCTGTGACTTACCTTTGCCGGGTGAGTGAGGTTTCTCGAAGTGTGGGGTGGAGAGAGCACGGGTGAAGTGCTCATCCACCACGGCTGCTGTGTCTCCAGCGTAGTGTGTGACAACCATGCAGTTGGCTGACACATACTTGACTTCCTGGACACGGTGTCATGGTGCCACGGTGTCATGGTGCCACGGGCGGTGGGAAGAGTGAAAAATACGTGTTAGTGCCCCCTGATCTTGTGTGCGTGAATATGTGCGTGTGTCTGTGTGTGTATATATATATATATATATAAAATATATATATATATATATATATATATATAATATATATATATATATATATATATATATGTCGTGCCGAATATGTATAACTGGTCAATTAGCAAGAGCTCATTTAAAATTAAGTCCTTTCTAAAATTTTCTCCTATACGTTTAAATATATATTTTTTTTCATAAATGTTAATGTAAAAAATTTTAATTTTGCACCAAAAGAATCTTAGAAAACTTACCTAACCTTATTATAACAAGAACAATTTATTTTAGCCTAACCCAAATAAATATATTTAGATTTGTTTACAATAATTTAATACTAAACAAACACAAGTGAAATAGTTTTTTTTTCGTTAAGTTCAGAATGATTTTGGCGAAATTATTGAATACACAAATTTTCACTTGTCCTATATGGCAAGATAGCGTTGCTATTTAAGCCAAGATCGCAAGTTCTGCCTATTCGGCACGACATATATATATATATATATATATATATATAAAATATATTATATATATATAAAATATATATATATATATATATAAAATTAATTGTTGTGTGTGCATGAAAATTTTAAACATCCATATTTATTAACCTGAAAACATTGTTAAATGTTACATGTTGAATACAGACGAAACTAGAAGCAACACTGCAAAATGGTCAAAAAATGTTCAGTGAACACTGAACGCATTAGTCATGTATATATATAATATATAATATATATATATAATATATATATATATATATATATATATATATATAATGTGCCGAATAGGTAGAACTTATCAGTTAGCAAGAAGTCGTTTAAAATTAAGTCCTTTCTCAAAAAATTTCTTATACCTGGAGTATACCTGGAGAGGGTTTCGGGGGTCAGCGCCCCCGCGGCCCTGTCTGTGACCATGCCGCATAGAGGATCAGGGCCTGATCAACCAGTCTGTTACTGTTGGCCGCACACAAACCGATGTACGAACCACAGTCCGGCTGGCCAAGTACTGACTCCACGTGCCTGTCCAATGTCTTCTTGAAGACAGCCAGGGGTCTATTGGTAATCCCCCTTATGTACAGTCTTGGGCCCTTGACACTTACTGTGTTGTCTCTTATCATGCTAGTGGCGCCCCCGATCTTCACTGGGAGAATGTTGCATCGTCTGCCAAGTGTTTTGCTTTCATAGGGAGTGATTTTCTTGTGGAAGTTTGGTACTAGTCCCTCTACGATTTTAAAAGTGTATATTGTGTATCTCTCTCGCCTGCGTTCTAGGGAGTACAAGTTGAGGAACGTCAAGCGTTCCCAGTAATTGAGGTGTTTTCTCTCAGTTATGTGTGCAGTGAAGGTTCTCTATACATATTCTAGGTCACCAATTTCACCTGCATTGAAAGGTGCTGTTAGTGTGCAGCAATATTCCAGCCTAGATAAAACAAGCGACCTAAAGAGTGTCATCATGGGCTTAGCATCCCTAGTTTTGAAGGTTTTCATTATCCATCCTGACATTTTTCTAGCAGATGTGACTGATACAATGTTGTGATCTTTGAAGGTGAGATCCTCTGACATTACCACTCTCAGGTCTTTTAAATTAGTTTTTCGCTCTATTGTGTGGTTGGAATTTGTTTTATACTCCGATATAGTTTTAATTACCTCACGTTTTCCATATATCAGAGTAATTGAAATTTCTCATCTTTGAACTTCATATTGTTTTCTGCGGCCCATTTAAACATTTGAGTGATGTCACCTGGAGTCTTGCCGTTTCTTCAATGGAGGACACTGTCATGCAAATTCGGGTATCATCTACAAAGGAATACACGGAGCTGTAGCTTACATCCCTGTCTGTGTCAGCCTCCTGGGGTTAGCTCTGCTACAGCATTATCTGCTACGTTCCTCCGCTTTAGGTCCCTTAGATTAAAATCCCCCAGGAGCACGATGTTTGGGGCAGGAGTTGGAAGATTTTCCAGACAGTGGTCGATTTTCAAAAGCTGTTCCTGGAGCTGTTGGGAAGTTGCATCCGGAGGCTTGTATACAACCACAATGACAAGGTTTTGTTTCTCGATCTTTACGGCCAAAACTTCAACATCATTGGAGGTGCTGCATCTGTATAGGTTAGAACCCGGGATCCAAATTTCATTGTCAAAGTGATCCGTTTAAAGATATATTTTTTTCATTTATGTTAATGTAAACGATAATTTTGTACCAGAAGAACCTTAGAAAACTGACCTAACCTTATAATAAACGCAATTTAATTTAGCCTAATACAACTAAACATATTTTAGATAAGTTTACAATTTAATAATAAACAAACACAGTGAAATATATTTTCTTCCTTAGGTTCAGAATGAGATTTGCGAAATTATTGTAAGCACAAATTTTCGCTTGCCTTATTCGGCAAGAAGAGCGTTGCTATTTAAGCCAAAATCGCAAGTTTTAGCTATTCGGCACGACTTATATAAAATTGAAAACCTGGTGGCAGGAGGGGCAACTCACATTCGCGTGTTGTGGCGGTGACCCTGGAGGCTCGCTGAGGGGCGGGTGGTGGTGAGGGTGATGGTGGTGGTGGTGGTGATGGTGCTGGTGGTGGTGGTGCTGATGCGGGGTGTGTTGTTGTTGTTGTTGTTGTTGACGGGACGGTGTCGAGGGGGTCTGAGGGGCATCAGTTTCACTGCAGAATTTCTGGCAAAAAAAAGTAGATAAAAAAAATTCGTTATTACGGAGATGGTATTTGAGCTTCAGATTTTTGTGTTACTACTAAAATTGTGTATAAAAATAAATACATAAATTCCTTATAAACGAAGCTGATAACTAATTAAACGAAACATTAATTCTGCGTCTGTACTACCGTAATTTATTTATTACGTCTGAATGTTATTTTATATTTAACGTCAAGAATATCGTTTTATATTTAACGTCAAGAATATCCCTTTATGTATACGTCAAAAATATCGCTTTATGTTTAACGTCAAGAATATCGTTTTATATTTAACGTCAAGAATATCCCTTTATGTATACGTCAAAAATATCGCTTTATGTTTAACGTCAAGAATATCGTTTTGGTTTAAACAGGTTTTTATACTCACCTGCGTCTCTATCTCTCTCTCACATACATACATACATACATGCACACACACACAGAACTGCAGGAGGCCAAGAGAGGAATATGATGAGTGCAACAGAGCAATGGTGGACACACTAGCTGAGGTGGCAAGAAGAGCTCACTCGAGTAGAGCGAAGTTACTGGTAATGGGCGACTTCAATCACAGGGAGATTGATTGGGAAAACCTGGAGCCACATGGGGGTCCCGAAACATGGAGAGCCAAGATGATGGATGTGGTGCTGGCAAATCTCATGCACCAACATGTTAGCGACATTACCAGAGAGAGAGGGGAGGATGAACCAGCAAGACTGGACCTTGTTTTCACCCTGAGTAGCTCAGACATTGAGTACATCACATATGAAAGGCCACTTGGAGATAGTGACCACGTGGTTATGAGCTTTGAGTACATCGTGGAGCTAAAAGTGGAGAGGGTAACAGGAGTAGAAAGGGAAAAGCTAAACTATAAAAGGGGGGGACTACACAGGAATGAGGACCTTCCTGCAGGAGGTTCAGTGGGAACAGGAGTTGCTGGGAAAATGAGTAAACGAAATGATGGACTTTGTAACAACAAAATGCAAGGAGGCAGAGGAAAGGTTTGTTCCCAAGGGTAACATAAATAATGGGAAGGACAGAACGAGCCCCTGGTTTACCCGAAGGCGTAGGGAGGCAAAAACTAAGTGCTCTAGAGAATGGAAAAATAAAGAAGGCAAAGGACCCGGGAAAATGAAAGAGATTAGTCGACGAGCCAGAAACGAATATGCACAGATAGGGAGGGAGGCGCAGCGGCAGTATGAAAATGACATAGCATCGAAAGTTAAGTCTGACCAGAAACTACTATACAGCCACATCAGGAGGAAGACAAGAGTCAAGGACCAGGCAATCAGGCTGAGGAAAGAAGGTGGGGAGCTCACAAGAAACGACCAGGAAGTATGTGAGGAGCTCAACATGAGATTTCAGGAAGTATTTACAGTGGAGGCTGAAGGGACACTGGGAAGACAAAACAGTGGGGTACATCAACAAGGGATATACCAACAAGTGTTGGATGAATTACACACAACTGAAGAGGAGGTGGAGAAGCTCCTAAGTGACCTTGATACCTCAAAGGCGGTGGGACCGGACATCTCTCCGTGGCTCCTTAGAGAGGGAGCAGAGACACTACGTGTGCCACTAACCAAAATCTTCAACACTTAACTTGAAACTGGTCAACTACCTGAAGTATGGAAGAAGGCAAATGTAGTCCCCATCTTTAAGAAAGGAGACAGATATGAAGCACTAAATTATAGACCAGTGTCACTGACGTGTACAGTATGCAAAGTCTTGGAAAAGATTATCAGGAGGAGAGTGGTGGAGCACCTGGAGTGGAACGCAATTATAAACGACAGCCAGCACAGATTCATGAAAGGCAAATCCTGCATCACAAACCTACTAGAGTTTTATGACAAAGTAACTGAAGTAAGAAATGAGAGGGAGGGGTGGGTTGATTGCATTTTCTTGGACTGCAAGAAGGCCTTCGACACAGTTCCTCACAAGAGATTAGAACAGAAGCTAGAGGAACAGGCACGTATAAGAGGAAAGGCACTGCAATGGATCAGAGAATACCTAACAGGGAGGCAACAGCGAGTCATGGTCCATGCTGAGGTATCACAGTGGGCGCCGGTGACGAGCGGGGTCCCATAGGGGTCAGTCCTGGGACCAGTGCTATTCTTGGTATATGTGAACGACATGACGGAAGGGACAGACTCAGAGGTGTCCCTGTTTGCAGAGGATGTGAATACCTAACAGGGAGGCAACAGCGAGTCATGGTCCATGCTGAGGTATCACAGTGGGCGCCGGTGACGAGCGGGGTCCCATAGGGGTCAGTCCTGGGACCAGTGCTATTCTTGGTATATGTGAACGACATGACGGAAGGGACAGACTCAGAGGTGTCCCTGTTTGCAGAGGATGTGAAGTTAATGAGGAGAATTAAATCAGACGCGGACCAGACAGGTCTACAAAGAGACCTGGACAGGCTGGATGCGTGCTCCAGAAACTGGCTCCTGGAATTTAACCCCGCTAAATGCAAAGTCATGAAGATCGAAGGAGGGCAAAGAAGACCGCAGATAGAGTATAGGCTAGGAGGCCAAAGGCTGCAAACCTCACTCAAGGAGAAAGATCTAGGAGTGAGTATAATACCGAGTACATCGCCAGAAGCACACATTAACCAGATAACTGCTGCGGCATATGGGCACTTGGCAAACCTGAGAATAGCGTTCCGGTACCTCTGTAAGGAATCGTTCAAGACTTTATGCACTGTGTACGTCAGGCCCATACTGGAGTATGCAGCACCAGTTTGGAACCCACACCTGGTCAAACACGTCGAGAAATTAAAGTGCAAAGGTTTCAAACAAGGCTAGTTCCAGAGCTAAGGGAAATGTCCTATGAAGAAAGGTTAAGGGAAATCGGTCTGACGACATTGGAGGACAGGAAGGTCAGGGGAGACATAACGACATACCAAATACTGCATGAAATAGACTAAGGTGGACAGAGACAGGATGTTCCAGAGATGGGACACAAAAACAAGGGGTCACAATTGGAAGCTGAAGACTCCGATGAGTCAAAAGGATGTTAGGAAGTATTTCTTCAGTCATAGAGTAGTTAGGAAGTGGAATAGTCCGGCAAGCGATGTAGTGGAGCAGCGAGAGGGAGGGCCTAGCAGCGGTCAGTGAAGAGGCGGGGCCGGAAGCTGAGTCTCGACCCCTGCAACCACAATTAGGTGAGTACAATTAGGTGAGTACGTACACACACACACACACACACACACACACACACACACACACACACACACGCACACACGCACACACACACACACACACACACACACACACACACACACACACACACACACACACACACACACACCTTTTTGAAAAAAAAAAAAATATACACATACACACGATTCAACACGTCGGCCATCTCCCACCGAGGCAGGGTGACCCAGAAAAGAAAGAAATTCTTTCACCATTCACACATAATCACTGTCTTTGCAGAGATACCCAGATATGACAGTTCCTATGTCCCTCCAAACTGCCAATATCCCAAACCTCTCCTTTAAACTGCAGGCACTGTGCTTTCCACCTCCAGGACTCAAGTCCGGCTAACCACTTTCCCTGAAACCCTTCACAAAATATTACCCTGCTCACGCTCCAACAGCTCGTCGAGTCCGAAAAACCATTCGTCTCCTTTCACTCCTAATATGCTCACAAATGCCTGCTTTATGTCCAAGCCCTTTGCACACAAAACGTGTGTGTGTGTATGCAGGACAAGCCACGGGGGGGGGGTGGAAATCTTTAGCTCAAGTACTTTCACACTTCTCAGTTTGTCATCAGGAGCTGTGCAATGTTGCAAGGGAGCAACCAAAGCAGGGAGAGATGTCTTAGAGTAGCGTAGGTGTCACCGGCCACGGTTACCCTTAGACTCTAAGGGTAATACAAACCCTTAGACTTTAAGGGTAACCGTGGCCGGTGACACCTACGCTACTCTGAGACCTCTCTCCCTGCTTTGGTTGCTGCCTTGCAACATTGCACAGCTCCTGATGACAAACTGAGAAGTGTGAAAGTACTTGAGCTAAAGATTTCCACCCCCCCCCGTGGCTTGTCCTGCATAGTTAGGATCGCCCGTCTGCGATTGTTTCCACACACAATATATATATATATATATATATATATATATATATATATATATATATATATATATATACAGGGGTTGGTTGGTTGGACAAAATAACATGACCACCTCCTGATTGAACTGTTGAATAACTGAATAATCAATCTTCCAAGATGAAAATGCACCACTTCACATCGCTAGAGTTCAAAATTGTCATTAATAGCATGAAAGAGAAATCGAACACTTGGATTGGCTCCCACAATCGCTGGATCTAAATATCCAACATCTGTGGTGTCTGTTCAAGTCAGGAACCGATTTCTTCCACCGTCGTCTTTGGAAGAGTTAGAACAAGTTTTGCTTGAGGAATGGCTCAAAAATTTCCCTGGATACTGTTCAGATGCTATATGAATCATTTCCACCACATTCTCATTTTCATTATTTCCCTTTTCCTCGTCTATATTGCTTCCTTTTGCTTCAATTTCCTTCTTTGCTTCTCTCCTACCCTTCCCTATCATCATCTCCCTCCTCCCTTCCTTGCCATCTCTTTCCACCCTTTCTTATCTTCTCATTCCTCCCTTCTTTCCTCCTTCCTTACTTGTAAAGCCTCGTCTCTCTTGTAGCCATTGTTGTGGCTTTCCTCCCCTGTGACTCACAACCACGCTCTCTCTCTCTCTCTCTCTTATACACACATAAACTCACACTCAACTACAGGAGACGACGAGGTTTAAGACAGTGATGTAGAGAAGTCAAATATAAATAGTATATACAGAGACTTCCGTAATACAAACGAACAACAAAATTAAACAGTTGAATCCAAAAAAAAATCTAAAAAAAAAAAGAAATAAAGAATGGTTTAAAGGAAGGTGCTGGAGAGCTGTGAAAAACAAAGAACTTAGTACCAATGTAAACAAAATAAACTTATTTCTGGAGTAATACAAACTTTATTTCTGGAGTAATGCAAACTTTATTTCTGGAGTAATACAAACTTTATTTCTGGAGTAATACACACTTCATTTCTGGAGTAATACACACTTTATTTCTGGAGTAATACAAACTTTATTCCTGCAGTAATACAAACTTTATTCCTGCAGTAATACAAACTTTATTCCTGCAGTAATACAAACTTTATTCCTGCAGTAATACAAACTTTATTCCTGCAGTAATACAAACTTTATTCCTGCAGTAATACAAACTTTATTCCTGCAGTAATACAAACTTTATTCCTGCAGTAATACGAACTTTATTCCTGCAGTAATACGAGCTTTATTCCTGCAGTAATACAAACTTTATTCCTGCAGTAATACAAACTTTATTCCTGCAGTAATACAAACTTTATTCCTGCAGTAATACAAACTTTATTCCTGCAGTAATACAAACTTTATTCCTGCAGTAATACAAACTTTATTCCTGCAGTAATACGAACTTTATTCCTGCAGTAATACAAACTTTATTCCTGCAGTAATACAAACTTTATTCCTGCAGTAATACAAACTTTATTCCTGCAGTAATACAAACTTTATTCCTGCAGTAATACAAACTTTATTCCTGCAGTAATACAAACTTTATTCCTGCAGTAATACGAACTTTATTTCCTGCAGTAATACAAACTTTATTCCTGCAGTAATACGAACTTTATTCCTGCAGTAATACAAACTTTATTCCTGCAGTAATACAAACTTTATTCCTGCAGTAATACGAGCTTTATTCCTGCAGTAATACGAGCTTTATTCCTGCAGTAATACAAACTTTATTCCTGCAGTAATACAAACTTTATTCCTGCAGTAATACAAACTTTATTCCTGCAGTAATACAAACTTTATTCCTGCAGTAATACGAACTTTATTCCTGCAGTAATACGAACTTTATTCCTGCAGTAATACAAACTTTATTCCTGCAGTAATACAAACTTTATTCCTGCAGTAATACAAATTGCAATTTATATGTAATAAAATATTGTTAGGCACAAAAGAAAGCAACGAGACAATCAATAACTTCTAAGATTGAAACAAAGTAGAATCTCCAAGATTCAGACAGATAGGACAGTCACAGGACCAGTTGATCTCAATTATGCAAAACAATAATGAAAATAGTGACAAGGTCCTTTAAGCACTTTTGACCAAAAAAGGTTTCGTCTTTTGAAAATTAAAAAAAAAAAAAATGAAAATTCACAGATGTTAAATGACTAAGTAGTGAACTTGCTTTTTATTGGATATTTCGACGTTTGAAAACAATCTGGGGTTTGTTAGTAATATGACAACTCATGAAAGGTAAAGGAACACATGTGCAACTAATATGGCAACGTTTCGCTCTGCATGAGCTTTGTCAAGCTCCTAAAGAGCGAAACGTTGCCACAAAACATCGCATTTATTGCACTTGTGTCGTCCTTTTACCTAACTTATTGTCGGTAATTCTTCTCTCCCTTAATTATTTTATATAAGAAAAGTAGAGCACTGCAGTATGTCAACTGGTCCATGCTAGGCAAATCTAACTCACGCCCACTTGTGTATGTGTCCAACTTATTTTTAAAGCTAGCCAAAGTTCTTGCTTGGGTGACGCTACCTGGCAGTTTGTTCCCTCGTCCACAACTACTGCCAAATCTGTACTTTCATATAAGAACACTAGAACATAAGAAAGAAGGAACACTGCAGGAGGCCTACTGGCCCATGCAAGGCAGGTCCATCTCAACCCCCGGCTTAGACCAATATCCTTTCTAAACGTAAATTTGTCCATCTTGGACACTTCGTCGCGAGTCCTATGTTGGTTAAATTTTTTCTGACATACGTAATTTGGAAAGGAAACAGATAATTATGTTCCAAATAGGGAAATCAGATCAAACAAAAATGATCCTAAATGGATGAACAATAGATTAAAATATCTGACTGGTCAAAAGAGAGGCATATATAGGCAAATCAAAAGAGGAGAGGGGCAATTAAGAAATCAATATATTCAGTTAAAGAGAGAAATAAAAAAGGGAATTAGAAAAGCAAAAAGAGATTATGAGGTTAAAGTTGCAAGAGAATCGAAGACTAACCCAAAAGGATTCTTTCAGGTATACAGAAGTAAGATCAGGGACAAGATAGGCCCACTCAAAAGTTCCTCGGGTCAGCTCACTGACAGTTAGTTTAATATGTTTATTATGCACCCCATACCCATCCTGTGGGCGGTAGTCAAAAGATTACAGAGGTACATAATGGGTCCAGGGACTGGGCCTCAAAGTTTTGATAGCTGAGCAAGTTACAGAGGTAATGAATTCACAATTTACAAAGGTAATGAACTCACAATTTACAAAGCTAATGAACTCCAGGTAGGTCTAGTCACAATCATGACAAGTTACAAAGGTATTTACAGATTACAGAGGTACACAATGGGTCCAGGGACCGGGCTCCAAAGTTTTGATGGCTGAACTAGGTACAAGGTAATGAACTCACAAGTTACAAAGGTAATGAACTCACAAGTTACAAAGGTAATGAACTCACAAGTTACAAAGGTAATGAACTCACAAGTTACAAAGGTAATGAACTCACAAGTTACAAAGGTAATGAACTCACAAGTTACAAAGGTAATGAATACTGTAAGAATGGTTACTTACGTTTATACATGGCTGCAATCATGAACAAATTTTAGAGTAATGAGCAATTCACACTTCCACACCCGGTCACAACTGTAGTGAGTTATTGGTGCAAATGTTGATTGCTGAGTCTCTCTCTCTCACACACACACACACACACATACAAATTCATACACACACACACATAAACACACACACACACACACACACACACACACACACACACACACACACACACACACACACACACACACACACACACACATACACAAACTCATACACACACACGCACACACACACTCATACACACACACACACTCATACCACACACACACACACACACACACACACACACACACACACACACACACACACACACACACACACACAAACTCACACACTCATACACATACAAACACACACACACACACACACACACACACACACACACACACACACACACACACACACACACACACACACACACACACACACACATGCACATATGTGGTAATGCTTTATTTACAGCTAGCAAAGTCAGGGTATTTCTCCAGAATGGTCTATAATATACCACTGTGGATGAAATACTTAGCCATTTCTTGAACACTTCTGAGTGAGTTGTTTCTAAATTCGTTAATTTTATCGCACTCCAGTACATAATGACGCAGGGTGTGACAATAATCCATCTGGCAAAGTTTACATTTCGTTTGGTCTACATCTGGTGGTGGTGATTTAACCTGCCAAAGATACTTGTAACCCAGCCGGAGCCGGGCGGTAGTGACATCCAAGAGTCTGCTTATTTTGTTGGATGCACCATAGACATGTGGCTCCTCCTGCATGATAGAATGATGATAGATGGACTCACTGGTGTCAATCTCCCTGAGCCTTAAGTCCATAAAATTCAGCTGAAGTTCTTTTCGTATTATTGTTCTCAAACTACTACCTGACAAGCCAAGATTGTAATCTACTCCCTCTTTGAAAGCATACAGCTTAGCCAATTTATCAGTTCTATCATGCATCTGAAGACCAATGTGAGATGGGATCCACAGCATGTGCACTAACAGCTCACTGCACAGTGATAAGGAAATGTGTAGAATTTTTAACACATACTTCCTCTCAGTTTTTACACAGGAGGATACCAGCGATATTCCAGAAATGATAAATTATGTAGAACAAGACGATAATAAACTGTGCACGATTATGGTCACAAGTGACATGGTCTTTAGGCAAATAGATAAATTAAAGCCTAACAAATCCCCAGGTCCTGATGAACTGTATGCAAGGGTTCTCAAGGAATGTAAAGAGGAGCTTAGCAAACCTTTGGCTAATCTTTCCAACATATCACTACAAACTGGCATGGTGCCAGATAAGTGGAAAATAGCAAATGTGATACCTATTTTCAAAGCAGGTGACAGGTCCTTAGCTTCGAACTATAGACCAATAAGCCTAACCTCCATAGTGGGAAAATTTATGGAGTCAATAATTGCCGAGGCAGTTTGTAGCCACCTTGAAAAGCATAAATTAATCAACGAATCTCAGCATGGTTTTACAAAGGGGCGTTCCTGCCTTACGAATTTAGTAACTTTTTTCACTAAGGTATTTGAAGAGGTAGATCATGGTAATGAATATGATATTGTGTATATGGACTTCAGTAAGGCTTTTGACAGGGTCCCACATCAGAGACTATTGAGGAAAATTAAGGCACATGGAATAGGAGGAGAAATTTTTTCCTGGATAGAGGCATGGTTGACAAACAGGCAGCAGAGAGTTTGCATAAATGGGAAGAAATCAGAGTGGGGAAGCGTCACGAGCGGCGTTCCACAGGGGTCAGTGTTGGGCCCCCTGCTGTTCACAATCTACATAAACGACATAGATGAGGGCATAAAGAGCGACATCAGCAAGTTTGCCGATGACACCAAAATAGGCCGTCGAATTCATTCTGACGAGGACAGAGCACTCCAGGAAGATTTGAATAGACTGATGCAGTGGTCGGAGAAGTGGCAGATACAGTTTAATATAGACAAATGCAAAGTTCTAAATGTTGGACAGGACAATAACCATGCCACATATAAACTAAATAATGTAGATCTTAATATTACGGATTGCCAAAAAGATTTAGGAGTTCTGGTTAGCAGTAATCTGAAACCAAGACAACAGTGCATAAGTGTTCGCAATAAAGCTAATAGAATCCTTGGCTTCATATCAAGAAGCATAAATAATAGGAGTCCTCAGGTTGTTCTTCAACTCTATACATCCTTGGTTAGGCCTCATTTAGATTATGCTGCACAGTTTTGGTCACCGTATTACAGAATGGATATAAATGCTCTGGAAAATGTACAAAGGAGGATGACAAAGTTGATCCCATGTATCAGAAACCTTCCCTATGAGGATAGACTAAGGGCCCTGAATCTGCACTCTCTAAAAAGACGTAGAATTAGGGGGGATATGATTGAGGTGTATAAATGGAAGACAGGAATAAATAAAGGGGATGTAAATAGTGTGCTGAAAATATCTAGCCTAGACAGGACTCGCAGCAATGGTTTTAAGTTGGAAAAAATCAGATTCAGGAAGGATATAGGAAAGTACTGGTTTGGTAATAGAGTTGTGGATGAGTGGAACAAACTCCCAAGTACAGTTATAGAGGCCAGAACGTTGTATAGCTTTAAAAATAGGTTGGATAAATATATGAGTGGATGTGGGTGGGTGTGAGTTGGACCTGATAGCTTGTGCTACCAGGTCGGTTGCCGTGTTCCTCCCTTAAGTCAATGTGACCTGACCTGACTGGGTTGGGTGCATTAGCTTACGCCGGTAGGAGACTTGGACCTGCCTCGCATGGGCCAGTAGGCCTGCTGCAGTGTTCCTTCGTTCTTATGTTCTTAAGTAAGGCTGGAGGAAGCTACTGTGTGGACGAAACGTTTCGCCTACACAGTAGGCTTCTTCAGACAAATGCAAAGATGAGCTAATATGGAGACAGAAGCATTGGAGAAGTAAAGATGACGTGATCAGTCCAGTAACCTTGAAATAGATTTGAGGTAGTCAGTCCCACAGACTGGAAAAATACATGGAGACACTGAAGAAAAAACATATGATGGTATTTTATGCTAACAGTCGAAGTGCAAGAAATAAAATTAATGAACTACGTTTGGTAGCATGTGCTGGGAACTTTGATATCATTGCATTAACTGAAACGTGGTATGATTTAAAGAGTCGGGATATGACTGCTGAGTGTAATATTCAGGGATTTAAGTTATTCAATGTGGATAGATGTAATGGGAAGGGGGGAGGAGTTGCATTGTATGTTCGAGAAAATATTAATTGTTGCATAAAAACAGGTATAAAAATAGATGGAGCAGTAACAGAGTCTGTTTGGGTAGAGTTGTGGAGGGTCAAGAAAAACTAATTCTAGGTGTAATATACCAACCTCCAGGCTTGGATCACGATAGAGGGAGACTTCTTTGGGACGAAATTGTTAGGGCTTCGGGACACAGTAACGTAGTCATAGTAGGGGACTTTAACTTTAGCCAAATTGACTGGAATTCTTTGACAGGTAATCTAGAGTCCAGTGACTTCATGGAAACAGTTCAGGACTGTTTTCTGAAACAGAGTGTAACTGAACCTACCAGGGGTAATAATTTGCTAGACCTAGTCTTGTCAAATAAGGAAACACTCGTGAATAATCTGGAGATCACTGAAGAGCTTGGCGCAAGTGATCACAAATCCATCACCTTTAGCATTAATTGGGAATGCAAGAATAATGATAATACAGTAAAAATCCCCGATTTTCGTTCTGCCGATTATAATGGACTTAGGGAACATCTGTCTAATCTTGATTGGGGTTATCTAGCTAATGATTTTATTGACGATAATCATACTTATGAATATGAAGGGATCTGCTTTTATGATTGTTTTCTTAATAATGTACACAGTGCCCAGAGTATATACATTCCCCAGAGAGAAATTAGGTCTAAAAATAACGATCCCAAATGGGTTAACAGGAGGCTAAAGCATCTATTAGGGAGAAAAGGGAATTTATAGGCGCATCAGAAGAGGAGAGGTTAACCTTACTGACCAATATGTTCAGCTTAAAAGAGAAGTAAAAAGGCGATTAGAAAGGCTAAACGTGACTATGAAATTAGAGTTGCTAATGAATCAAAGTCTAATCCAAAGGGGTTCTTTCAAGTGTATAGGACGAAGGTGAAGGAAAAAGTAGGACCTCTGAAATCTGGGAATGGACAGCTGACGGATAATGAACTGGAAATGTGTTCCTTATTTAATGACTATTTTTTGTCAGTTTTTACACAGGAAGATGTAAATGAGATTCCAGTAATTACAATTATTTAGTTCCTGATGAATTTAAGTTAACTAATATTACTGTCACGAGGGACATGGTTATTAAACAGATAGACAAACTGAAACAAAATAAGTCCCCGGGACCCGATGAGTTGTTTTCAAGGGTACTTAAGGAATGCAAGATGGAGCTTAGTCAGCCATTAACGAATGTATTCAATGCGTCCATCCTTACCAGTGTTGTGCCAGAGATGTGGAAGATGGCTAATGTGGTTCCTATATTCAAATCAGGGGATAAGTCCACTCCTTCAAATTACCGTCCAATAAGCCTGACATCTATAGTGGGCAAGTTATTAGAATCAATTATAGCTGACATTATCAGAAGTCACCTTGAAGAGCATAACTTGATAAATGAATCTCAGCATGGATTCACGAGAGGTCGTTCCTGCCTGACAAACTTACTGACGTTCTTCAATAGAACATTTGAGGCAGTTGACAGTGATAAGGAGTATGATATTGTTTATTTGGATTTTAGTAAAGCCTTCGACAGAGTACCTCACAAGAGACTCTTAAGAAAAGTGGCAGCTCATGGTATAGGAGGTAAAGTTCTAGCATGGATTGAGGCATGGCTTACCAATAGAAAGCAGAGAGTTACCATTAATGGAGTGAAATCTGAATGGGGATTAGTCACTAGTGGCGTTCCACAAGGATCAGTTTTAGGCCCTCTCTTGTTCATAATTTACATTAATGACCTTGATGAAGGGATTACTAGTGACATGAGTAAGTTTGCTGATGATACAAAGATAGGCCGTATAATTCACTCTGAGGAGGATATCAATGAACTCCAGGACGATTTGAACAAATTAATGTCTTGGTCTGAGAAATGGCAGATGAAGTTTAATGTGGATAAGTGTAAGGTACTTGCCCTTGGTAATGAAAATAACCCTCGAAGCTATAATCTAGGTGAAGTAGAGCTTGGTCATACAGAATGTGAAAAAGACTTG